TGTCAGAGTGAGGACACCCTCCCCCCTCCCCCAGTCTGTGTTCGTGTGAGGTGTCCTCCATCCTTCCCCAGTCTGTGTCAGAGTGAGGACCCCCCCCTCCCTCCCCCAGTCTGTGTTAGTGTGAGGACACCCTCCACCCTCCCCCAGTCTGTGTTTGTGTGAGGACGTCCTCCATCCTTCCCCAGTCTGTGTCAGAGTGAGGACACTCTCCAACTTTCCCAACTCTTTGTCAGAGAAAGGACATGCTCCACCCTCCTCAGTCTGTGTCAGAGTGAGGACACCCTACCCCCTTCCCAGTCTGTGTCAGAGTGAGGACACCCTCCACCCTCCCCAGTCTGTGTTAGTGTAAGGATACCCTCCACCCTTCCCCAGTCTGTGTCAGAGTGAGGACACCCTCCACCCTCCCCAGTCTGTGTTAGTGTAAGGATACCCTCCACCCTTCCCCAGTCTGTGTCAGAGTGAGGACACCCTACCCCCTTCCCAGTCTGTGTCAGAGAGAGGACACCCTACACCCTTCCCAGTCTGTGTCAGAGTGAGGCCCCCCTACCCCCTCCCCAGTCTGTGTCAGAGGGAGGACACCCTCCAACTTTCCCAACTCTTTGTCAGAGAAAGGACATGCCCCACCCTCCCCAGTCTGTGTCAGAGGGAGGACCCCCTCCCCCCCCCCCCAGTCTGTGTTTGTGTGAGGACGCCCTCCATCCTACCCCAGTCTGTGTCAGAGCGAGGACACCCTCCAACTTTCCCAGTCTGCGTTAGTGTGAGGACACCCTCCACCCTCCCCCAGTCTGTGTTAGTGTGAGGACACCCTCCACCCTCCCCCAGTCTGTGTTTGTGTGAGGACACCCTCCATCCTTCCCCAGTCTGTGTCAGAGTGAGGACACCCTCCAACTTTCCCAACTCTTTGTCAGAGGAAAGACATGCTCCACCCTCCCCAGTCTGTGTCAGAGTGAGGACACCCTCCCCCCTCCCCAGTCTGTGTTAGTGTGAGGACACCATCCACCCTTCCCTAGTCTGTGTCAGAGTGAGGACACCCCCCAACTTTCCCAACTCTTTGTCAGAGGAAAGACATGCTCCACCCTCCCCAGTCGGTGTCAGAGTGAGGACACCCTACACCCCTCCCCAGTCTGTGTCAGAGTGAGGACCCCCTACGCCCTTCCCAGTCTGTGTCAGAGTGAGGACGCCCTACACCCTTCCCCAGTCTGTGTCAGAGGGAGGACACACTACACCCTTCCCAGTCTGTGTCAGAGTGAGGACCCCCCCCAACTTTCCCAACTCTTTGTCAGAGAAAGGACATGCTCCACCCTCCTCAGTCTGTGTCAGAGTGAAGACACCCTACACACTTCCCAGTCTGTGTCAGAGTGAGGACACCCTACAACTTTCCCAGTCTGTGTTAGTGTGAGGACACCCTCCATCCTCCCCAGTCTGTGTCAGAGTGAGGACACCCTACACCCTTCCCCAGTCTGTGTCAGAGTGAGGACACCCTCCACCCTTCCCTAATCTGTGTCAGAGTGAGGACACCTCCATCCTCACCAGTCGGTGTTAGTGTGAAGACACCCTCCACCCTTCCCCATTTTGTCTGTGAAGCCCCCTAGCTTATTATCTGTCATGCATGCTTGTGTTGTCTAGCTTTGTCTACATACTATCTGCCAATATATATCCTTTTGTCTTCCTTCTTAGCAACAGGACTATCACATGTCATAAGTATTAAGATAAGACCATAAGCCTATTCTCCAGTGGTCACTACACAGTTAGTACAGGATCTAAAATCTCTATATCAATGTTCTGACCGCATCCTGATCTTCAAGTTTCTTTTTCCTCTTAGTATGCACATTTACTGAAAACGTTCCCAGACTCTGTATCATGTATCATAATCTACTACACCAGCTATAGATATGTGTTAAACACACACACTGCTCCTTATTCACAACACTTTAAAGCCTTCTCCTAACCCATAAACCTATAAATATAAATAATATCCAGCCCGCTCACCACACTGGTTAGATGAGCAGGTGTGATCGATGGTATACTTGTAAATAGACCCCAGCAGTGTACAGCAGGGGTCAATAGCATACCACCTATGTTAAGTTACTGAGTGTATCATCAGTAGTCTCCCAACCTGGAACAAGGGTGTTAAGCACCCTATCATTCCATCAAATATCGTACCCTACTGGGTCAATAATCAGCTGCTGGGGACAATTACTGGTCAGCTATTAACACATGCAGTGGTCAGTACAACCTATTCTAACAGGTTTATTTACTTTTTGAACAGTGAAAGTGCATTGTGGAAGAACACAACCATTCGCACAGGAGTTTAATTTAGAAGTGTACTTACAATGTAGTTACACAAGAATGCCAACACAATCTCTTGCATGACAATAAAACATTATTTGTAAGCATATCCACTGAACTTTGTTCAACATAGATATTTTCTAATAAATACTGTACTACACTGGAGTTTAACCTAGCTAGGGTATAATTGGGAGGTACACTTACTTACATGTAGAGTATAAATATGTATAGTGTAATGTAAAGTACAAACATGTACAGTGTAATGTGAAGTACAAACATGTAGTGTTATGTGAAGTACAAACATGTACAGTGTAATTAAAGTACAAACATGTACAGTGTAATTAAAGTACAAACATGTACAGTGTAATGTGAAGCACAAACATGTACAGTGTAATCATAATGTAAAGTACAAACATGTACAGTGTAATTAAAGTACAAACATGAACAGTGTAATGTGAAGTACAAACATGTAGTGTAATCATAATGTAAAGTACAAACATGTACAGTGTAATGTGAATACAAACATGTACAGTGTAATGTGAAGCACAAACATGTACAGTATAATGTGAAGCACAAACATGTACAGTGTAATGTGAAGTACAAACATGTACCATGTAATTAAAGTACAAACATGTACAGTGTAATTAAAGTACAAACATGTACAGTGTAATTAAAGTACAAACATGAACAGTCTAATGTGAAGTACAAACATGTTCCATGTAATTAAAGTACAAACATGTACAGTGTAATTAAAGTACAAACATGAACAGTCTAATGTGAAGTACAAACCTGTACAGTGTAATGTGAAGTACGAACATGTACAGTGTAATGTGAATACAATCATGTACAGTGTAATGTGAAGGACAAACATGTACAGTATAATGTGAAGTACAAACATGTCCCATGTAATGTGAAGTACAAACATGTACAGTGTAATGTGAAGTACAAACATGTACAGTGTAATGTGAAGGACAAACATGTACAGTATAATGTGAAGTACAAACATGTACAGTGTAATGTGAAGTACAAACATGTACCATGTAATGTGAAGTACAAACATGCACAGTGTAATGTGAAGTACAAACATGTACAGTGTAATGTAAAGTACAAACATGTACAGTGTAATGTGAAGTACAAACATGTAGCTATATAGCATGTAATGTGAAATACAGACATGTGAAGCCAGTAACCTATATATGAGAAGGAGCTAACAGGTGTGGAAGAGATTAGTGTGGACACAGCATGGGGGAGGTTCTGACCAGGTCCTGGTGCACCTCACTGACTTCTGTGTATAGACTGGTCACTCCGAATACACTGACCAACACTGACCTTTCATTTGAATCATTTCTAGCCAAGGTCAATACACTTAACTGGCCTGGTCAGGCAGCTAGAAGATCACTATGCCATAAAGAGTATATTTTTCTTGCCCATAAATCATTGTCCCTAATAACTGAACTGTGATGATCTCAGTATGGACACAGTATGGTTCTCAGCTGTCTACTCCATCACAAAGTCCAGTCATTCTCCCGCCAAATTCTGACCATAGTGGTAAGTTTACTTAATCTACTTGATGTGTTCCACCTGAGGCTTTGTGCCGGACATGTACTTACACAATGCTACTCAACTGTGTACAAAAGTGATTAGAGTATGTCTCACAGAACAGCACATATACATACAGTGACGGAGATCTGTATTATATACCATTATGAAGTATGTACAAATAAAAGTATTTCCTAATTGGATTATAGGTTACGTATACAAAGGTCACTATGGTGTTGACCACATGTAATATCAGAACAGCCACTTTTACAGTGTACCTTGGGTCATGATGATCTAGCTTCTCCTTACAACAAAACTTGCCAACAATTTCAACATGCGGGAACCACTTTGCTTCACCTATTTTGCATATGTGTACCTATCTATAACAGGAAAATAAACAAGCTTCTATTTCTGCATACCTGTTACGCATTAGCAGGATAAAAAATTAAGTTTCTATATATAGTTACCCTGCATGTAGTATATTGGGGAAACAAATGAGTTTCTATTTCTAGTTTACATGTGTTACATATTAGCAGGAAAACAACAGCTTGTTAATATTTCGTATTGATGTCTTTTAAGTTAGTTAGCATGAAGTAATGTTAGAAATGGTGATTGGCATCATAATTTATTTGATTTTGATTTCTATCGTGAATTACTTTTCACACACAACTTGTAAGTTCAATTGCTGCTGATTTTAATTTTTGACAAATTTTATACAGTATATCAAATGTGAGAAAAAGCAATCAGCTATCGCCAAAATATTCACTAACTGATTTTATTTAAAGGATGTGTTCTTTCCATGTAAGAACACCATATATTAATTGACTCTGTAAAAGACTTTTTGCATCGAAGACACAAATGAAAATTGTTTCAACCCATCGCAAATTTATATTTGTGCTTGACCCATTCTATTAAATTTTGTGCTATCTTGAAAACACTTGATAGCAGTTTATTTGCCTAATGAGTCTATGCCGGCTATTGCACTTTTTAAAATCCAGCTATGCTGTTGTCGTCTGTCCAATCTCCTAATTGTTTTTCAATTGGCTCTACAATAACGCACAATTAATGATTCAATAAAAAATTGTCAATTTTGGAAAATACCTATCAATTCAGTGTTGAAGTAGTGGGCAGAGCAATAACAAAGGAAATATAACTGATAAGATTAACCTCACCTCATTGTTCTGACTGTCCGGCTGTCCAAACATTCCTGGCATTACACCTGGACCAATTCCTCCTGGTCCAAACTGGTCCCACCCCTGGGGCATCATTCCTGCCCGCGGCTTGGGGACAGCAGGAAGTCCAGGACTTGTGCTGGGCACACTGTAGCCTTGGACACCTGGTCCAGCCCCTGGTCTATGAGCCCCAAAGTATCCCTGCCCCACATCATATGCAGGATATCCTTCCTTTCCTCCGGGGATCCTGGCATTGAAGGAAGACATCCCCGGTATAGCCGACACATCCTTATTTGGTGGGCCATGTGCACTCCCTAGGGAACTGTAACTGCTGACCAATACATCCTTGTTGGGTGGAGTCAAAGCAGACCCTAAGGGGTTGTAGGCAGCCCCGGGGTAGGGAAACTGCTCCTGACCCATGGCCCACCCTCCATCTGCCCGCACTCTGCCATCATCCATCACTCATCACTTTCTGCAAACTACAACATAAGAATATCTGTCAATCATATGTATTTAAAAAAAAAAATGGATGAAAATTCAAAGCACACAAGTAGAACTTTTCATTTATTCACATTCTCAAAGTATTTTTCATTCACAGAAATATTGTGTGAATTTATCGAAAAATACCCTACACCACCATTGAATCTGATTTTCTATTTCCAGCCTTGGTGGGTCTTAGGACCATTGTTCCCTGCCCATAACCCAAGATGTCTTCCTAGTTCTCACAATAAAAGTCTGTGTTTGCTCCAGATAACCTACTAATACCTTGGCCTACAATCAATAAATGGTGGCTTGTTTGCCCATACCTGGTTAGCTTGCTATTATACATTTTCTATCTTAAATATTCTGTGTAGAAGATGTACAACTTATGCACTACTCAAATTTACAGTATTTTTCAATATTTTTTCATTATATTTCTTTATAAAAAAAAAAATGTATTAGCTTTCTTCCAAACTGGTGTAGGCTTGTGTTTCATATGCATAAAAGAATCGATTACCAATATAAATGCTCTTAATTTAGTTGAAATGGTCTGAATTGGAGCGGATCATGGACTTGTGAATACAAAGACCATCCACTGCTGTCTCCATCTCGTTCCCATCTCCCGTGTCTAACGGCCATGTGTGTGATCAAAGACAGATAGAGGACCAAGTTAATAGAACAAAAAGGAAATTCATCATATGTCCCACTCAGCAAGTGAAGAAGAAAATCAATACAAAACATGGATACGTGAGGCAAGTCACGTAAACCACCCCGACTCAGGCAAATTTGGTGGTAGGAAAATATCCATCTGTCAGGCAAGAGACAAAAAAATGTGCTACACACTGACTTGGATACCGAATCAGGTGGCGTGATTTGGTTGTCGACTCCATAATAATTGATTTCATTATAACATAAAATGACATTAAACACCAACATTTCCTACCAGGCGCCACTTCATAGAACATTTCTTTTTCACAACACTGAGAACTTCAAAAATACATTTAAAAATTATTTGAACTTATTTTTGGATAAAATAATTATTATATTCACTAATGAACAATGATCGTTAAATATATCGAAGGACGTTGCACAAAAACTTTGCAAATAATTGAATAATTGTAGTAAGTTTCTAAGTTAATATAGGCAAGACTGAAACTTATTGAAATTTATTTCCATTTAGAACGGTAAACACACCTTGTCAATATGAATTGAAAACACGGTGCAGAGATGTAAGCTATTTTTAGCCGGTACACATGGGAAATTCCCCTGACCTAAATTCCTACCGCGTTTTTGGTCAAAGAGATATATATATATATACAGTGCTTGTATATGCTCATGTGTGTAACTTTGTGTAGGTGTCGACGCCTGACCCTCAACTCATCAAACCAGAGTCTTTAGTCTGATTAACTCATATATGAAAGTTGTCCACTTACATGCTAGGATATACAGGTACAAAACCTACAGAACAGGAGCCTTTGATTAATTGACAGCATGCATATTTGTACAAAGTACGCCTCATTCGCAAATTAACGTGTATTATGTCTAATTTGATTTTTGACAAAAGCCTAGTTTAACTTAATCCAAAACCTGTTTGACAGTCTCATAGTATAAGCGTTAACAAAAACTAATACTGATTTCTACTGCAGATATACATGTAGGAATAGAAAATCTATTTTAAAGAAGTTTCGTCGCACAATATAATGTTCCACCGATAGAGCATATCCTTGGCTTATTTACGTTTCCTAACTTTGCAGCAAGTAGCTATATATATAGTATCGACAAGCATTGTGCTATTTTAAGATAAGGATTTTTTGCTAGTAGGGGAATCCCCGTTCAGAGGTAAATTCCAACATGTTTTCGATACAAGGAGGTAAATTCCAACATGTTTTCGATACACAGATAGTTCATTTTTAATGACAGTCGCCTAGGTTAATCACTTACTTGGGCTTGGTAACAAACTTTGCTCTTTTTTACAATTATCTGGTTAACCTATATTTCACCTCATACTTAGTCTAATGTGTTTATGCACTAGATAACTTTAAAAGATACAGCCCTGTCTTGTCGAATACGCATACAATCACTCTCGTTAAGATAAGCTCCTTACACTCTGTATATTAACACATAAATGTTTAGTTCTTCCAAATGACTTCATTGATTTCCAATCAGTTATGCCTATGTTGTCAACAAATACGTTATCTCGACATTCTCAGTTGCTTGTAGTATGTTGTCATCTTTTGTAACTTTTTTTTTTTCACAAACCACTTTGCATATGCAAAACATACTTTGTTTTTTTAACATATATATACATGTTCAACATTACCTGGAAAAAAATCTGCCAATAATTTGAAAAGTTATAATTACATTTTCATTTATAAATTAAGATGATTAATTGATTGATATTCATGCAAGGTTAACCAAAAATAGCATGGTGTGAAATGAGGACAATGTGAGCTACCCTATATAAACCTAGAAGATATTTAGTCTACAGATATATTCCTTCTTTGCATATTGCAGATTTATCTTCTCTTGTGAGCAGGTATTGATTGTTACGTCATTGTTTTATGAGAGTAACGTCATCAATTTTTGAGAAAACGATGTAATTTTTTCACACAAACCAATGACGTAACAATCAATACCTGCTCACAAGAGAAGATAACTCTGCAATATGCAAAGACGGAATACAGCAAATGCAACTGTATTAGTTGCTATTCAAACAAAGGTATTCCATTGTGTGTAACGGTAGCTACTTGCTGTATACAATGGCATTAGTCTACAAATTAACGACTATAAATACTGCTTTAATATAGAATCAATACATTTAATATAAAGGCGATTACCCTGGGTACTCATTTTTTGAATAAGACACAAGAAACAGGGTTTCCCCATGCCTAGGGGAAAGCGTTACGATATTCTGCCTTGATGTATATGTCTGTTACATAAACAGATGGCAAATTCTAGATCACTAAACTCTGAAAATGGAATTCTACTCCCCTTAACTTTCTTAATGAGCAGTAAATTATTAAACTTTAATCTCCATATACAAACCACAAATCAAAATGGCCATTATGTTACGAATTCTTATAACAACGTAACATTTGTGTTCTTCAAAGATTCCTGTCCAAATGCACTCTAATTTATCCACAGTTATATCCCCTAAATTTTAATTCGGATGATCATGCAACTCTTCCACACTTCGGCCAGGAGACTTCCATTGACCGGGTAGCTCAGTCAGTCAGAGAGACAGTATTACAACCCGCTATCCAGGGTTTGAATCTCGTTCCAGCCCTGCTTAACTTTTACGCTCAGAGCAATGTTGTTGATTATATTTTGTTTCGTTATTTTTCATAAAAGTCCTGTAAGGTATGGTTTTCTTTTCAGAAAATCTTTATCAAAGCCACATAGTCATGCGGGCAGAAACAGTTACCAATGCATAGCGACAGTTTTCAGTAGTAGTACGCAAATCCTTAATTGAAATGAATGGTTTCACGGCAATCAAACTAGTTACTTGTAACAAAATTTGCCAATATCATACTCGCCAACTCTTCCTATTGAGGTAGGAGAATCCCGATTTTGGACCCTAAAATTGAGCATTTTCAACCAGTGAATTTGCTAAACTAGAACAGCACAAACTATGCCATCTAAAAGTGTTATTTCTTCCCCAGGGTGTACATACACACATTTATTTTATGGTTTTATTTCTGAACATGCGTAGTCTCCCCCATTGAAATTTCAAAAATTTAGCAAGTATGCATTAGCAATTAAGTTACAGGTCAATTTAAGGTTGGTTTGTAATTAACGTTGCAGTTTAATTACACTGTACAAACATTTGACACTAAATGTACATAAATTCAAATCCAATGTCATACATAATGAGACATTTCCAAACCTGTTAACACAGAGCGGTCCGTACACAGAGCTGTCGAATTCCCCTAACTTCCTTTTATTGGAACATAATATATCAAGACATGAAATGTTTCTTTTTGATAAATCATGTAGTAAAATTAACAAAATTCATTTATACAAAGTATTTTGGATAAACACAGAAAATTCAGAATACTTTTGTGAACAAATTCTAAATGAAATTTTATATAAAAAGATATCCTTTATTTAGAATGTGCTTTCTTCAATCAAGATTTCAAGATTACCATATGCCTGAAGCTTATAATGAAACATCATTGAAATTCTGTTGGGTTAGCAATTTTATTGGTTTTCCATCAGAGCTGCTTGACTCTATTTGGGCAAACAACAACACAGCGCCTTACTATATTTGGTGGTAGTTATACATATATATATATAAGGAAAAACAATCAGTTTACTTCATATATACATATGTATTTAATACATCATTTACGCATCGTTAAACCTTAACATTTTACCAGATAAGTTCTGAATGCATAAATATTAGCATGTAACACAACCCTTCCATTAAATGTCGATAAATCTGTGTTCACCAACATACATACAGGTAAATTTATACAATAAAAGTTCTCCGGTCAAAATTCATTTAAATGTTTTATCCAATGAAATGGTGAATCGTGAACTGAATTATACAGCATCAATGACCTTCAATGATCTGTATAGGAACCGTTTGTCTACAATTGTGCATAATTTAACTATCAATAACAATAGTCTGAAACCAAACAAGGAACTAAACATGAACGAATAAGGAAACAGATTTGGATTAAAATTTGTTTGTGAAATTTTTTATTAGATGTCTCGAAACCAAATAACTTTTAATGAACAGCCGAAGTTCATGATTAAAGAAATCCAATATTGGTTCTACCGCAGTTTCTCGACATCGCCTTCAATATATTACGTAATATTTCACAAGAATTAACAGCCAGTTTCTACATTTATCTATTGTGTATATAACATTGCAAGTACATATATATTGCTACACCGTCAAAAAATTCAGGGTCATTAGGCACTATACAGTGACAGAACAAGTGCGAAGTATATGCCTTACATGTGTCGACATAGCAGGTCTATTTATAGATCCACTGGTTTTTCCCTTGGTGTTGTTCGCGATCGAACACCAATGTTATAAAACCACTTGGAATTACATAAAGTGCATCAGCATGTATACACAGTAAACGTTATCAAAAATTTCAAGATTTAAATTAACCAAGGTTTACATACAAAACAAACATGTTAGATTTTGATATTTCAGCATAGAACCTATACATGTATATTAAACGATAAGAATTATCAACCTAATACAACTTTTATCATCGTTTCTGATAACATACATAACATACCAATATGTTTCAATCAAGATCCAGTTATTTCTTTTTCTTTTTAAGTATTTAACTACACGCTCTAAATAATCTTTCGTCTGTTTTTTTTATATAAATTGTATGTGTTATACTTGTGATAGCTTCAGCAGTGTCGCGGAATAATCACTCTAGAACCAAGTCCATGGTAATCTGGTGTTTGGGTTTTATTTTATGACAAAATTATCTATTTTTCATATCATTAAAGCACCATTTAAGCTTATATCACCATTTCAACACATATAATTAAAAACCAGATGATTTCAAAAGTTTCCAGATGATTTCAAAAGTTAACAAATTTTAATGCATGTATTTCATTGTATTATATCGTTCTTAAATTTATTGATATTTATTTTGTTGAACAAATCATAAAATCAATGTAAAACTATTAACTATCTTGAAAAACAATGTACAACAGTGTTTATCACTACTGAGATTAGATTATCAGATTGATTGATGGATATTTAAAATATTATTATAAATTATTTTAATTGGTAAAACAAATGTGTAACTTGTAGATATTCCGCTGACCCCTAGCTCTGCCCGATCCGCCGTGTGGGCATGTCGGCTCTCACGTACACATTTGTGTATCCCGACCAATGTATACTCGGTAATGGTTCTGATCCAGGAAAACGCGGGAAATATATATTATCTTAAAGTCAGTAGAAAAATCTTCCTTAATAATTAAATGTAGCACAGGACGCAAACATACCAAAGAATTTGATATAGGTTTAGATCACAAGAAAGCATGGCATTGTTTGTGGTTCAACGTGGCTATTTTTAGATCCCGACAACATAAAATATGCGAATCTAATAGATCAGGGCGGCGTTTCGCGTTAGGTTTTTCGTGATAACTAGAAGATTACAACATGCAAGACGTCTAATGGGTACACACTTAGGTACAAAGGTACTAATATTAGACATTACAATTGTATGAACACTTGCAAACGACCTAAAACAGTGTGTAACGCCGTCAGAAAAAACCTATCTGACTAATATATAGCGTACAAGTGTTCGCCATGCACGAAATCTTTAGTGTGTTTCGAGGTCAACCATATTGTAAAACGTTCGGTAGTTTCCAATATAGAGAACGGATCTGTACACCTATGGTGACCAGGACATTCAATAATGTATGAGTGCATTTTGTGTAAATTTTGCGAGCATGTTTGGTGTGCAGAAAACGTAATATTTACCTTGTGTCGGGCCGAGTCGGATAGCTCCGACCTGTCGTCTCCTAGCTTATGCAAATACACGGGGCAGACACTGAGTCACGTGACGCCGTCATTTCGCACTTGGATAAACTCGCTAAATAGTAAACCCGTATATATACTCTGTATTTATCACGACTGAATGAGCTTTAATCTAAGGCAACTGAAAACATATATAGCACGTGTTGCTTTGCAAATGGATAACATGCATATTCGAATAACAATAAACTACATGAACTGTGAGGCCATATGTTAGACTCGGCCTTCCCGTTGATCGATATATTTTGATTGATTTTATCGTCAAGTGTCCGACATATTTATAGCTCCGTGTCTGGACATGTTGTGTCAGAAGGTAAAAACACGCTTGATTGTATGTGGATTTACATCTCCGTATATTAGTGTATGGGAGAGCAGCTATTGAATTTAAATGTCAATACCGAAGTATTAGGCGTCTGATAATGACAGGTCTGTTATAACCACGGATTAGCCGATGATATGATAAATTGTATTGCATTTTTACAAAAATATATCTAGCCACACGATGAAAGCAATATATACAAGGATTTTGGTTTCTGGACGAGGCAATGACTTGTAGGCCGGATATTTTGTCACTTTCAGATCAAATGAGTTAATAAATGAATGAATTAAAAAAAAATCAATAATGTCAGTTTATCATGACTGAAATTTTATACTCCTATGTATGTCAAGAATCAAGAGTCAAGAAGCTTTATTTAACGTCGCATATACATGTCACATAATAACATTAGCACTGTAGTGCCATTCTTGCGACAAAACATATTTACAATATCACAACTATCACAGTACTTATGGATATATATATATATATAAACAAGACAACAATTCAATTTAGATATGCTGCAAATATACAGTAGTACATAGTAAGGCCCTATAACCACGGAAAATAATTTGTGAATCGCTTTGAGACGACCTACGAACTAGGTTGTGATAAAGCGGTATATAAGAATCTCGAGTTATTATTATTATTATTATTATATATGCAATCCAAGTTTATGCAAAATAAAAAATTAGAAATTTTAAAAGAAATACTTTAATAGTGAACAGTTGTATGCCACACAAGTGTTGCAAAAGACAAGTTAAGACACTATCATAGTGTAATGTACATACAATGTATATACACTAATATAGTGTGAATTAAAAATAGATAATGAAGTCATAGACTGAAACAGAGAGCTATAATTATGATATTGTAAAAAGTAATGATCTTTTCAAATAATGGAGCTCAAGTCTGAAATAAATATCACCGGCTGTAAAGTACTGAAGTATATCAACAAAAGCAACAGTGAATGAATTAAGGTTGATTCCAAAGGGGGACAACTCACACTATATGGTGTGTGCAGGCTGTTCCACATCTGGGAAGCAGCAAAACATAAAAATATCTAACCGTATGTGGAGGTGTTAACCTTTGGGATCTATATCAGGTTATCTTGTCTACGATTTCAAAACATTTCTTTCCTCTCAACAAGATTTTGTAAAATTGATGGAGAAATATCATTTAAAATTTTAAAAACCTCAGAGGCCATATCTTTCATACGTTTTACATATAAATCAATGACCGGGGAAACAATCATTTTCAATAAAACGAAGTGCTCGTTCATGAACTTTTTCAATTTTCCTAGTATTTGTTAATGCACAAAAGTGCTAGGCAAGTGGACAATAGTTAAAATTTGATAGAATAAAAGACTTAAAAATGGTAATTTTTCCTTTCTTTATAAGATTGTTACCCAGTCTTTTTAAAACAGCAAGTTGTTTAGCCGCATTTCTACAAAGGCGAGATATATGTACATCAAATTTAAGAAGAAAGTCAATATCCATACCTAATGGTTTCACACTGTCTTCACACATAATCTCAATAATAATCTAAATAATATTAAAAGATTTGATAGAGTTACTAGTCTTTTTGCCAAAACATATTACCGGGAATTTCTCTGGATTGGCTTTCCAGACTGCTGCGTCCTGCAAAACATTACGTAGCCAAAGTTTTCGAACGAAATTAATCCAGTCTAGTATATATTGTTGAGGAAACTTTCAGAGCTTCATCATGACGTGTATCGGGGTGTTCTGACTCAATCTCATTACAAGAGACAAGAAACTTTATTTAACGTCGCGTATGTCAAACAGGGAAACATTAGCGCTGTAGCGCTATTTTTGCGAAAAACATGATAAAAAGCAAACAGAAAACAACAAACAATCTATACACTATCACAGAAAGCTAGCACATAATCAGCGAGTAAAACATACAATAGCATAGCAGCATATAATTAGATATCACAGTCACTAAATTTAAAGTACTATACTAAAAATTATGTAATGAAATGATAGTGAACATAGGTGTTGCTATATAATAGCAGGGTTAAAGCACTACAAGTGTAATGTACAAACATGCTAGTATAGCAAAAGAGTAAAAATTGACATGATATACACTGATATAGTGTAAATTAATACAAGACGACAAGGTCTAGTAAGTAAAAACATATTGAGCTATAATGATGATTAGAAGAGAGGGCTAGAAACTATGCTGCCAGTTATTGGTATATCAAAGCGCCATGCAAAGCAGCGGTTAAGCTAAATAGATTGGTAAATAAGTTTAAAAAACAAAACAAAAGCAGGTAACCAGTAATAAAGACTAAAACACTGAAGAAACATTGAAACTCTAAACACAGGTACAGATACGACATGAGCAAACAGGGCCATCCCAGGAGTGCATCAGTCTGGCAAAATCTGGATAACTATCCAACTTCCTCAAATGATTTGGAAGACTGTTCTTCACCCGGGCGGCCTCGTAGCGAAAAGACTTCAGTCCATACCTGGTTGTTCCTACTCTTGGTAGCTCCAGCTGCCTTTCATTCCTGAGGTTATAAAAAGACGATATCAAGGTTAAAAGATTGCATAAGTAATCTGGAGCTTCATTGGTAATAATTTCAAAAACTTCGCAAGCCATGGTTTTCATTCTGTTTATATTAAGAAAAGATAAGTTAGCTTTCTCTAAAAGATCTGAAACTGGCGTTGTGAAGTCTTCCACAATAAAACGAATGGCTCTTTCTAGTATCCTCTCAATCTTCCTTGTGGAATTTAAATTGCAGAAATGCCATGCCAGGAGACAATAATTAAAATTTGAAAGAATAAACGCTTTAAAAATCCCCTGCTTGCACATAACTGTTTAGATGCTCTCTTGCAAATGTTTGACACATGAAAGTCAAACTTTAAGTTAAAATCAATGTCTACACCAAAAAGTTTAACAACATCTTCACATTTTACAACATGGTCTTTAATAGTATAGAAAGATATCATATTATGCGTTTTTTCCCCCAATGGATATAGCCTGAAATTTGTCAGGATTGGCCTTCATACCATTATCCTTGAACCACTTGATTAACATATTACAAGTGTATTCTTTAATTGAACAGGGTCAGAGTCAATATGCGACAGTGTGTTACCATCCGCATAATTATAGAGGGTACCCTTATGAACATAATAAAAGATGTCATTTATAAAAATATTAAAAATTAAAGGTCCTAAAATAGATCCCTGAGGTTCTCTCCAACTGTTCCCAGTCAGAGACATTGGACCCCAGCCTAGTCGCGCTGAAATCTGCCCCCGAGATAGCTACTGATGAGACCGACTGCGGCCTCGTCCAAGCAGCCCGTGAGGAATACAGTCGAAGGCCTTGGAGAGATCCACGAGGATAGCACCTACAAACTTGTTCTCATCCAATGCCCTTTGTCAATCCTCAAGGTGACGCAGCAGGGTAGAAATGGCATCTATATCCCTTCCTGAAAGAAGCAAGAAAAGGATTAAATATACGATTAAAAAAGTAGTTGTTTAATTGATCATGTAAAATCTCTCCTTTTTTTGAAGTAAATGGTAAAATACTGACAGGTCTGTAATTCTGTTTGTCAAGTGGATCCTTCTTTTTAAAAATTGGACAACCTGTGCCAACTTGAAATTATGAGAAAAAGACTTGGTTTCAAGGCAATGATTAAATAAAGTGGCAAGGGTAGAGCTTAAGGAAGAAGAACCTGACTTGAGAACCTTAGCAGGAATACCATCAACACCTACATACTTTTTACCATCAAACTTACTGATAATGCTTTGCTACACTTTCTGCATTAACTGTTTGGAAACTGTAGGACCTTTCACCCTGCACATCAGCTTTAATAGTGCAGATGCTACTGTTGGTTTCTAGAGTTTGGATATCCAGGGTGTTTCCAATTCCATCAGCAGCATGTACAAAGTAATCATTAAAAATATCACAAACCTCTTTCTGGTTTGAAGTAACCTGATCGTTTTCACAGAGAATTGTAGTAACACCGCTTGATTTGACTTTTTTTGATAGACAAGACCGCTTCACTGTGGGCCAGAAGTACTTAGACTTGGCATCACCTGCACATCTCTCGATAAAGTAGTTTCTTAAAGACTGCCTTCGCAACTTAACCACCAAATTTCTCTGTTTCCGGTACTTAGCCCAGTGTGCATAACTCCTACATGCTTTGTGTTTATCAAATAACATCCGTTTTCTAAAAGCTGCTTTGCGGAGTTCACTGTTAAAATAAGGTGGCTTGATGAGGTTTTTTTTCTCAACAATAGGTACATGGGCGTCCATCACCTCACGCAGTAAATACTCTTGTGCCCAGTAAATATCATCCAAGTCATCAAACATAAAAAATACATGGAAAGGTGGAAAAGATAAATCACTGTTAAAAGGACTCTCATCGGAATTATTAAAGCTTCTGAATTTGACCTTTTGTTGTTTGACCTTCGGTACTGCACCCTTGATTACAGTTCCAATAGTGTTGTGCCAATCACTCCTACCACAGCTAAAATTAAAAGTATTAAAAGACAAATTTGAACTATTGGTAAGAATAGCATCAACACGAGAAGGCGTGCAGTCTGTTACAAAGCATGTTGCAGTTTTCACAAGATTATTAGGGGTTAAGAAATCTACGGCAAATTTTAGGGTTTACCAAGAATTAGGAAGATTGTCTTAGGAAATAATTAGGAAATTTATAATTTTTAAATACTGGTTAAAATTAAAACAAACTGACAATTGTGTTTAACATGCATGTTATCAAGAAATGTTAGAAAATGGTAGTGAATGGATGAATGGAGTAAGAAATGAACTATTTAGAATGGGAGTAGGGTACATATAGCAATATAGAGATACCTATACATCCGATTAT